CTAGAGCCCAGCTCATAATCACCGTCATCTACTACGGTCTAGAGCCCAGCTCATAATCACCGTCATCTACTACGGTCTAGAGCCCAGCTCATAATCACCGTCATCTACTACGGTCTAGAGCCCAGCTCATAATCACCGTCATCTACTACGGTCTAGAGCCCAACTCATAATCACCGTCATCTACATCGGTCTTGAGCCCGGTTCATAATCACCGATTCCTTATAATTCAAATTCTTAGGATCTAATTCATCCATTTCTCAACTAACATTTCCAACTAATATTTCAATGCTAGTTATTTATTTATTTCAATATAATTCCTTCTTCTTGCATAATTGGCCTTAATATCAAATATCACTTTCATACCTTCATGGCTTCTCCTCATGGCATCAAAGTATACTATCCCAAATGATATTCATGGTTGGTACAACCATCATACACACATATTCATAACATCTAAACATACATAATTTATTCATAAATTTGTGTATCATGCATACTATACTTTTAATCAATAGTAGTTCTATTTATACATTATTAACCATCAACAATTCATGCACATCACATTTATATTCACTTAGGAAATCCCATGAAATTAACCCAAAGATTATAAGTATCATAGTCGGTCATCCTCACCTTAATTAAGCTTAAGCGTGTTCTACGTCTCTCGATTGGACTTTGACCAACTCCGGCGAACTTTGACCAACTCCGGCGAACTTTGACCAACTCCGGCGAACTTTGACCAACTCCGACGAAACTCTGGCGAAGCTCAAAAATACTTTAAATCAAGTTCCTAACAAGGTTTTATCATCACAAAACCCATATCAACACAAATAACCTATAAAAGGTTATTTTCCGGCAAACCGGTCGATTTGGCTTCTAAGTCCGTTTTTGGACTTAGAATCACTTTCCAACCCATCATTCCACACTTAAATCATGTAGAACAATACTAAAGGTCTTTTATATGATATATACCTTATATGCTAGAAGAAAAACAAAGGAAAAGTTATGATAAGGTCATTACCTTAATTTTCACACTTTTTCCTAGCTTTTTCCTCCTTTAACTTTCTTCTTGGACTCCCTTTAGCTTGAGTTCGGATTTGGGCTATGGAGATGAAGTTTGCAGAGCTCTTCTCTCCTTCTTGGTGTATTTGGGTCGAAATGATGAGTGTAAGGAGGTAGGGGTGGTTCCTTCTTGTCTCCTTTAGACAATGAGTGAAGGAAGGGGGCCTACTACATGTCAAAGGTGTCTCCCCCATCCTCTCAATTGTTGTTCAGCCAATTTGGCACTCATCCAGCCCTCAAGGGTTGACAATTTCGTGTGGTGGCCCCCACCCATGTGGAAGGTCATCCCAATTTGTCCCAAAGTGTGCAATTTGCCCCGAAAGTTGTATTTTTCGGACTGTTTTAAGTATATTTTATTTTATCGGGTCAAATAAAATATAACACTTGTTCCCAATTCTTAATGGACCTTAGAATCAATATGCATCCCTCAACTTTAATTTAGAAGTCTCCGAAATCCCTTTTCGGGCTGTTATCTGATAGATTGCCGATACTGATAATTTGGCCCTGTTTGACCAACCGGTCAACCCTATGCCATTGTCATGGCTCAACTAGGATATCCACCACCATATACATATTGTCTAGTCCAAGATCAATATAATATGTGGTCCCGATAATATCGGACGGTCCCCACTCCCGATGTGGGCCCCACGTGCATTTTACTATTCAAGCGAAAAAATTAATACAAATTCACAACTTCGTAAATTCACTAAATATTTTCATAGGATCCAATAAATTATTAGCTTAAAGATAAATACATTTGGGGACGGTGTTACACTGGAAGGCAGGCTCCTGGTTGAGCTGGAAGGCAGATCGCTGGTCAGGATGGAAGGTAGGCTCCTGACTGGACTGGAAGGTAGGCTCCTGGCTGGGCTGGAAGGCAGGCCGCTGGGCGGGCTGGAAGGGAGACTCCTGACTGGACTGGAAGGCAGGGCGCTTGGCGGGCTGGAAGGCAGGCTTCCCACTGGGTTGAACGACATCTGCAGGCTCTCTTGGGCTTCCGCTCCTTGATTGGCCTGATCGGTTGGGCCAACTCGAGCTCTAGGTTGTTGGGCTGGGGCCTGCTGGTCCAAGTTTGGGGCCTGGGCCGATTAGGCTCTCGGCCTAGTCCCATAACCCCACCACTTTGATTTGTACTGTCCTCAATGAATTGCATATTGAGTTGAATAATTATTCTGATATTAAGTTACTATTGTTCATCTAAATTTATTACCCCTTACTTCAAATAATTACAATAAAACAATATACTAAGAAATGGCTAATGGATCAAATAGGTCGTGGTACCTTTTCGGATTGCTCAATTTGCTCCGTGAATCCAAAAAAGCTCCAATTCACACCTGAACTCGATAAAAAGATCCAAATTTCACTTTTTGCAGGTTTCAATCCGGTCACCGCCACGTCACCCGGTAGGGTGCCAACTGTGCATGTGACGTGGCAACTTAAGGGGTCAAATAACCCCCTAAACCCGACCGAATCGCTCAATTTACCCCCTCAGCCCTAAAAAAATGTCAAACTTTTGAACAAAATTAAAAAATAAATAATGATAAATAATAAATAAAATTATAAGTAGAATTGTAAATAAAATAGATGTCGAAAATATAAAATATATTAATATGAAATATTTATCGTTTACGGTAAATTCAAAATAAAAAATAAAATAGAAACTAAAAAAAAACTTTAACTTTATTTTCATATTTTATAACTACTACGTATATTTCATGTAAGAAATAAACAATGTAGTTTTACCAACTATATTTAAATTTTTATTTTATGTATTATATCTACGGGCTTGGTATATACTACCTCTGTCCCATAAAACTTGACAAAGTTGACCGACACGGAGAATAATAAAGTAAAAATTGTGTGGTTGAGATTTGTGCAGAGGAGAGAGAAATAATAGAAACCACAAAATAATTGATTAAAAGGAAAAGTGACAAAGTTTTTTGGGACGTCCCAAAAAGAAAAGATGACAAAGTTTCAAGGGACGGAGGGAGTAATACAAAATTTAGGTTTTTGGTTTGATAATTTATACGAAGCATTATGTTTAAATTATCCATTTGTATTTTTTCATTTCATATTTTTTAATTTATTTAAAAATATACTAAAAATAAATATACAATTTTTATGTAACTATTTTTCAAATTTACTAATTGCACTTTTTATATCTATAGTAATATAAAAATTAGTCATATACTCCCTCCGTTTCCAAAAGAAAGTCACGGTTTGACTTCACGATTATTAAGGAAATAAATTGACTTTACTGTAGAAAATACTGTTTAGACACTGTTTGGCACTGTTTAGACACTGTTTGGCACTGTTTCGCACTGTTTAACACTGTTTGGATGTAGATTTCTTTGCCAAATAAGGAAATAAAGGAAGTGTGACTTTGTTTTTGAAACATCTCAAAAAGGAAAGTGTGAGTTTCTTTTAGAAACGGAGGGAGTATAAGAAGTAAAATATAAAAATAGTAACTACATATTTATAAATTATAATATTTATTATAAATATATTGAAGTCTTTTACGTATTATACTTTGTATATAAGAATTATTTTCTTTTAGTTTATATTTTATTTATTTATTTTGAATTTACTAGAAACAATTCATATTTATATTTTATATTTTTGACTTATTCATTATTCTATTTTTTATCATCTTTTTTCTTTTTAATTTCTATTTTTCGTGATTCTGACGTTTTTTTAAGAGTTGAGGGGGTGAATTGAACGATTTAATCAGGTTCAGGGGCATATATGGCCACTTAAGTTGTCATGTCATGTGCACAGTTGACACGTTTGAGATCTTCATCTACACATCTCACCTTTGGAGATATTTGGATGGAGGAAAATTCTTTGTTCTATTAACAATCTAAGTATGATCTGGTCTAATCTGACCTGATTTTATTTGGGACAGGAAATAGTCCAAATAAAAACATATATTCTTAAAGCTCCACTGGCAGACCGACCTTGTTATTAAAAAAATTACCATGCACAATTGTTTAATTATATTATACAATTGAATGCAACCTAATATGTGCACATGCATATATAAATGGTGTTATTTATTGAATATGCTAAATTAAGAATTTAAGATCGATTTCCAAAAATGTGACCGCGTTTACATTTGGACAAAAATGTGATTAAAATAATGTGACAACCAAATATTCATGTTACTACTTCATTTTCATGTCACTTTCGGATGTCACTGTCGCAACTGCCCGTGTCACTGCTGCTGCCATCATCGTGTCACTTCCGCCGCCACCGATCGTGTCACTGCCACTGCCGTCGGCCGCCGCTGGTAGCGGCCACCGACCACAATGACATCATCATAGTGACATCGTTGTGAGCACCACCCAAATACCGTCGCCGCAACTCCGCACCGCTTCATCAAGTGACCCCCGCCTAGCCCCACCGACGACCACTGGCCCCACGCCCCACCACCCCAAACCCATTCCACTAGCTCAGGTGCACAGTGCCCCTACATGCACCCTCCCTAGCCCCTCCCCTGTGATAGCCCTATCCCCAACACCGGCAACCATCACCTAGGCACCGGTGATCGTCACCTCCGACCACCACACCCTAGACCCCTCCCCTGTCACCCCAGCCCCCAGCCAGCATCCCCCATCCCCCTATAAGCAACATCCCCCAACCCTTACTGTGTTTGACACTGTTTCGACACTGTTTGGCACTGTTTCGACATTGTTTGACACTGTTTTGCACTGTTTGACCCTGTTTTGATGTAGGATAACTTTCCATTTAAGGAAATGAGAACTTTCCAACGAGACATCCAAAAAAGGAAAGCGGGAACATTCTAACGGGACGGAGGGAGTATTTTATTTAAAAACAATTCAAATCGAATCAACAGAATATATAAATGTCACAAGTATTCTCTATTGACACTTTTAGTCAATTAGAATGAAATTGCTTGTTACAATTGTTTGTCTACAGAAAAATTCGAATAAATACATGAGTCAATGACATTTCCATATAGCAACCTTGTCACTTAAGCTTCTTAGTAGTCACCATTAGTTCAGTGTTCCCTTCCGTCACGACTCGCGAGATCTCAGTCCGTCGGTCGGTGCTTCGCAGATCCGCCGATTTGGACTCAACTCCGGCAATGCCGCGGCTTTCGTCGTCGATACCTTCCAAGGCTAATTCCGTGGTTATGCTACTCTGCACCTTTCTGCTTCGGTGTACGGAAGCTTCAGTTCATGACTACTCAGGGGAGAAATTCGCGAGCAAAGGCAATGCATTTGTGGTCCATGGAGGTAGCGAAGGAATTTACTCTTACAATCAGAACCGCAACGAGTCGTCTTCTCTCTCTTCTAACGGCAATGCTTTCATTCGGTGATTATTCTTCTCTCACTGCTTTAATACATGGTGAAATCTCTTCATTTCTTAATCTTGTTTGCCTCTAGCTTCGCGTATTCTGTTACTAATAATGATATGCGGAGACCTTATAACCGAAGACCATTCGAATTCATGGTTTTGTGGATGTCCAGCATTGGTAAGATAGCTTTTTTTATATGATAAAAAGATCTTATAAGAAAAAAGGCGGCAGTTTTTTTTAGTTCTGTTTGGTATCATAAGCTCTGTAATTGATTAAGTCTAAAACTTGTAGACATTCTCTAATAAGCTAAAGATCTTTTATTTTTAAAAAGCTGTTAAACAAACAACTCATATTCTAGAACTTCTTAGAATCTTTTTAAATAGTATATAAGCTAATAGGTAGGGGGTTTAAGTCTACCAAACATGCACTTAATGATAGAAGATGCAGAAGCTTTGAGCTTTTAGTTGCTATGTGGTTAGGTGGGCCACTGCTCAGATGAGCTTAAAAAGTTAAAGGAGTTGAGTTCGATTGACTACAGAAACGTCATTGACTCATTTACAAGTCAGAACATGCAAATAAATGAAAATGGGAATCTTTTGAATAATATGGATTAAAGATTTGAAGCTATCAACTTCATTTTGATGGCTAAATTATACGTAGTAATTGCTTCACTCAATCACAGCTTGGTTTGACCCCATTTCTATGTATGCTGAGCTTGTACTTCATGAAGAAGTATGGAGTATACTTTTAAGAGCACTTTTGGTAATGATGAAATCGGTTGAATCCACTGAAATTGGTGAAATTATGGCTGAAACGCATGAATTGACTGAATTATGGGGAATAATTGAATATATTTTATTAATAACATAAGATAAAAATATATGAAAAAAGCTAAAACAGTCTTCAGCAAATTTAGTAACTCCAGCCTTGTTTATTTTGATTATTACACAATTCAATGCGCTATATCAAAACTAGCGGGCTTTAATTTGCATACTGCTTCGCTCATATCCAATGGTGGGCAAAGAGCTGTTTGTTTCACGGCGAATTATAGGTACTCTTATTTGGGTTTCCCAACAAAATGTATAACCTAACGTGCTTTCTATAAATACCAGCTTTGAGAAGATAATATTCCGTAGGCCAAGGGAGTTTTCAAATTTCAGCTCAGGGTCTATTCATGTAGTTCTTTTTGAGGTGGACGAGAGAGAACTGATTGGTGGCTCAGCCTATGGGGGGCAAAGAGCTGTTTGTTGCACGACTGATCTTGCCAAACTTGGAGTATGTAAGCAAGGAGAAATCATTCACCGTCCATCCACAAAACATTCTGGCTGGCCTCAAGTCTTCAGTGCCTCATTTGATGTTGATGAGGTTGATTCAATACTGCAGCCAAGAGAAATACAGATAACAAAAACAGGGATGTATAATTTGTATTTCATTCACTGTGATCTGAATCTTAAGGAAGTTGTTGTCGAAGGAAAAACTATATGGAAAAATCCCACTGGTTACCTGCCTGGTAGAATGGCGCCACTCATGAACTTTTACGGGCTCATGTCTCTTGCATTTGTGTTGCTTGGAGTCTTTTGGTTCTCACAGTATGCTAGATTCTGGAGGGAAGTTTTAACTTTACAAAACTGTATTACTCTAGTAATAACTTTGGGGATGCTTGAGATGGCTTTATGGTATTTTGATTTTGTCGAGTTTAATGAAACGGGAGTCAGACCAACTGGAATCACTGTGTGGGCTGTCACCTTTGGCACCGTGAAGCGCACTGTTTCGCGTATAATCATTTTAATGGTTTCTATGGGCTATGGTGTTGTTAGACCTACCCTAGGGGGTATTACATCTAAAGTACTTATGCTTGGTGGGACTTTCTTTATAGCATCTGAGGTACTTGAGATAGTAGAAAATGTCGGAGCTGTAAGTGATCTATCAGGAAAGGCAAGATTGTTTTTTGTACTTCCTGTTGCAATTTTGGATGCTTTCTTTATTCTTTGGATATTCAGTGCCCTCTCTGCAACACTAAACAAGCTTCAGGTACATGACTCTTATCTCAACTCTATGTTGTGGTAACTTGAAATCAATAATGAACCTAATTCTGGGCAAGTGTTTTGGATATCTACTTGCTAGTTGTTCAAGAATAAGTGCATAGATATGGTGTGTTTTCTTTAACTTGATCAGTATCTTACATGTTAGTTCTCTTTCAGTGAAACTCTTCGATCCTTGCATACGATTTATAAGAACTGCACTGAGATAGTCTGGTGTTTATATCATTGACAATCTTTGCTTGATGAATGAGCAATTGTCCAATTTCACATTCAAATGGTAAAAGGGTTAGAGGAAAGGGCTAAGGTCTTGATGTCGATGATCAATTGGCATCACTACAATCATTTTTTATCCTAAAAAGGAAATGTATGTATTCACTGCCTGTATTGATAATATGCTCCAACAGGCTAGACGTTTGATGGCAAAGTTAGACATATACCGGAGGTTCACAAATGCTTTGGGAATAGCTGTCATTGTCTCTGTTGGTTGGATATGCTATGAGGTAACATTGCTTGTAGTCCAGAGAGTAGTTAAGGCCATTCTATGCATGTTGAACTGTAACTCACATATTTAAATGCAAATCTCTGTTCGTTTCACTATTAACCTGAAATTTCAGGTGTGATTTCACTCTAATATTTAGGCAATTCAAAAATATGTATCAATTAGCCAATTTGAAAATACATATCAATTAGTCAATTCGAAAATATAAACCTCAAAACTTTCAACATTGCAAATAAATTATAACCATGTCAGGGAAAAAATGCTGAATTGTATCTTTATCATAGAATGTCTAGTTAATACTCTCTTTGGTCCTTTGTTAAGGCACCTGTTAAATATCAATTAGCCAATTTGAAAATGCGTATGAATTAGCCAATTCAAAAATATAAACCTTAAACCTTTCAACATTGCAAATAAATTAAAACCCTGTAAGGGGAAAAAATGCTGAATTGTATCTTTTCACAGAATGTCTAGTTAATACTCTCTTTGGTCCTTTATTAAGGCACCTGTTAGAATGAATCAATGGCCCTTTATATCAGACATTGTTCTTTATATGCTCCGTATAACATTTAATATTCTTTTTTCATGGTTCGCCCCTAAAAGTTTTGTGATCATGATTATTTATAGTTATGTGTTTCGTTTAGGAGACAAAAAAGTGGGTCAATTTGGAACATCTTAATTTTTTTTAGAATCCAGGGATTATTATAATAATTTCTTTGATTTGGCTAATTTGGTCTGTAACGTCTTCTCTTAGCTATGGTAGTAGGATGCAGTTTCTTATTCTTTTTCGTGAAGCGAGGAGGTTTAGGTTTCAATATATTTTGAAATAAAGACAATTAGGTGCTCATTAATTGACTCTATCTTACGGGTAAAATGATAGTCGTTTTTTGTGTGTTCCATGTTTCTATAATCATTATGTGTCATCTATTATGAGAATTGGGAATAGAATATCTGACCTGTTGAGGGAAAAGGGAATATATGAAGCTGCCTCTCCTGAAGTCTTGTATTAATAGTATAGTATATGACTTTGTTTTGCAGCTTTACTTTAAATCAACCGACATATACAATGAGCGATGGCAAAATGCATGGATCATCCCTGCTTTTTGGCAAGTTTTGTCTTTCTCTCTTCTCTGTGTCATTTGTGCTCTTTGGGCGCCATCACAGAGCTCAATGAGGTAAGTTTCATACTTTCATGCTACACACTATTAATACATTGATTGATTATGATTTATATAATGCCTGTTGTTTGCACATTCAATGTTAATTATGATGAATGTCTTTAGGAATACTAAAATTTCTTGTTGAGGCTTTAGCCTCTATTTAAGTCATCCCACGTCATACAAGTACAAACTAATATATAGCATTGTACATTTTTACTTTCCACAAGGTTACCTTTTAAGATGGAATCCTCACATTTCAATAAGTTGTCAAAGAGTTTTAAGTTCAAAAAGTCAAATCTATCAAAAACCTAAAAAATGAGCACTTGAACCACAAATCTTAATAATCTTTTCTTGGTCGCCTATGTTTTATCTTGAACTACCGCGCATAACGCACATGTTGAGGCACTAGGGGACGTGGTCCTTATAGAATATAGAATGGTGTGAATTGCACACGACTTACTGACTTAGTGATGGGATATTTGTGGAACAGATATGCTTACTCAGCAGATGCTAATGAAGACTTTGACAAGGATGAAAATACTCTAACTCTCATAAAGCCTTCACCCTTTCCCTCAATGGAAGTACAAACACCTTCCAAAACTAAACCGGCAACGGGAGGTGGGAATGGCGATTTGGAAGAAGACAAGACTGAGTAAAGTGAAACACGCGAGTTTTGTATAGTAGGACACCCGGAGTTTAATATGTTAAATCATGTTTTGCTGATATCTATCAAGGATATCTCTTGTTTGTTGTAACCTTATTTAGCTCAAATTTTCTTCTTTTCACACATTGTAATGTAATACTACAAGTTTACTACTAACAGTTTGTGGAGTCACACTGTCACAGTAAAGATAAGTTAGTTACATTTTATTGCAAATTTACAATTCCCCGCCATTGTTACTTCCCAGTATTACCCAAATATAATTCTTGAAAAGAAACAATTCTTCCCAGTATTACACTATTACCCAAATATAAATTTTGATTTATTTCCCAGATATCTTATATTTTAGGTAATATCAAAAGAAAGATTGATGACAAAATAATGTTGTTATGGTTTGCATAATGATTTTTTAAAAATGAGAAAGTCACATAAAAAATTGAATAAGCAAGTAATAACTCCAAATTGAAAGTCCCGCTGACATAGGAATAGCCTCGGTTTGACTTCGGCATTCACAAGAATTGAGAAGTTGAACTATTGAAATTCTGTTGTTATCGTTATTTTATTCTCTTCCCCTCTTTCAAACATTACTCTTACGGACCATTTCGTAAACATTACAAAAACATATCCCTTCATCTCATTTTAGTATACTCCTTCCGTCTCATTTTAGTTAGCTCAATGGTGTCTAAATTTGACCGGTTATATATATTTTTGAAAGGTCAAAGTTTACCATCTTTAATTGGAAAAGTCAAAGATGGCTAACTAAATTTGGAGGGAGGTAGTATTACATAAAATATAATGGGGCACAACTATGATTGACATCAAAACTCTTTAAAGCAATAAGCAGTACTCCGCATCTTCACGGAGAATTCAATTTCACTGGGTCCATGTCGGAGACAGCGGGGCAGTCGTGACACCATTCGTGCAGGTCGCTACTTATGCGACAAGGAATTTCGCTACCTTAGGACAGTTAGAGTTAATGCCGCCGTTTACCGGGGTTTCCATTCAAAGCTTATAACACTTCTCCTTTTGACTTTCCAGCACCGGGCATGTGTCAGACTCTATACATCGTGTTACCACTTAGCAGAGCCCTGTGTTTTTAATAAACAGTCGCTACCCCCCTGGTATGTGCCGCTTTCCTAATCAAAAGATAGGAGAGCACCCCTTCTCCCGAAGTTACGGGGTCATTTTGCCGAGTTCCTTCGACATGGTTCTCTCAAGCGCCCTAGTATACTCTACTTGTTCACCTGTGTCGGTTTGGGGTACGGTCAGTTCACCGGGAGGATCGCCCTCCCAATTCGAAGTTTTTTCCTGGAAGTTGAAACCTTGTTGACTATGACAACAGTCGCGACTATAAACAGACTCGTGACTATGGCAGGGCGGTACGCTCTGCTCTCTCGCGACCCCTACTCTAATCAAAAGACTCAAGGCCCCTACTGAAGATAGGTCGCCAAACTACGACGAGAGTTTCGCCTTTCGCGTAGGGCCAGGCCGAGTCAGAAAGGCTTTGATGACTCAAGGTTCATATTAGGGAAAGGAGAGTGAGGGGAAGAGGGGGCAGCCCTCGGCCCGATCATCCAATTCAAGTGTCAGTAGCGGAACGTTCTGTCAATCGGGGAAGGTTTTTGGTGACAAGACCTGGAGATATCAGAAGTGAGAATGCTGACATGAGTAACGAAAAATCCTGTGAAAAACACGATCGCCTGCCAGTGGAAGGTTTTCTGCGTTCAGTCAATCTACGCAGAGTGAATCGATCCCTAAGGAACCCCCGAAAGCAATAAGCAGTACAATTTAAAGTGTTTGGATACGTCAATCGGACATTTTTGGAATGGTATGAACTATTTTTACAATAGATGTCATGGGCAGTCGTTTTTTGACATGGCGTAAAATATTAACGAACTATATTAAAAATTTATCAAGAAGTATTTATACAAATTAAAAAGCATGAACACTACAAAAAATCACGGGATTGACGGGGATTTTGGCAGGGATTTGGCAAGGATTTTGGCAGGGAAATGCCAAATCCGTGCCAAAAACACTTTGACACGAGTTATTTGGCACGAAAAATCGGTAAGTCCGTACCAAATTCCGTGTCAATCCCGTAATTTTTTTGTAGTGGAAGTGTAGAATATAGTTTTGGTGATACTTTTTGACAAAAAAATGAGTTTTATTTCGACCCGTAAAACTTGATCAAAATTAAAAAAAAGTTTTTCTCAACCGCTAAACAAGCAAGGTTGAACAATTTTTTGTGACGAATGGAGTAATTTGTTGGATAGTGAATGAGTTAAAACATGGTGGTAATGTTTGGTGTTCACAAAAATTTGCACATTATATAACATGCATCTTCTCTCTCTATTTTTACATTTTCCTCTTTGATTCATATATATCTCATCATCACCATCTTCAATTCTTCATCATCTTCACCACCACCATCTTCCATACGCATCATCTTCCATCTTGGTCATCTTCATCATTTTTCATTTTCCTCACTTTATCATCATCTTCCATTTTCCCGAATCCCAACATCATATTATCTTGTGTGATTAAAAAAACAATCGGAGATGGAGAGCCGCCGGAAAACAAATCAAAGAAGATCACTAGGATTATTGGTTTGTGTTCTCTATAAAAATTATTTGTATATTCCTATGTATTTATAAAAAAATTCCATAAAATAAAAGTGGAAATGAGTAAATGTCTATAAAGTTACGCTACATATAAAAAATGTATGCTGGTGTCTATACACAGACAACTAAATTAAAGTATGTGAGCACACATCAATTTATGTGTCACGTACAATGACGTCTCTTGCAAAAAGAATACGAGTCGATATATGTGCTACATACATTTTTGTATGTGATCTAAATTTACAATTTTTTCAGTTTAATTTTTTCATACAGACAAACTTTATCAATATTTAGGAAAACATATACTGCATCCGTTTCCAAAAGAAAGTCACGGCTTGACTTCACGATTATTAAGGAAATAAATTGACTTTACTGTAGAAAACACTGTTTAGACACTGTTTGGCACTATTTGAACACTATTTGGCACTATTTAGCACTGTTTGAATGTAGATTTTTTTTGCCAAATAAGGAAATAAGGGAAGTGTGACTTTGTTTTTGAAACATCTCAAAAAGGAAAGTGTGAGATTCTTTTAGAAACGGAGAGAGTATTATTTTATAGACCTCACAAACAATAACTCAGGGGATTGTGCATCTCTGATTTTATTTTCCGTCAACTAATGAATCTTCCAAAGTTGGAGATGATGAAAGTGAGGAAGATATAAGATGATAAGAAGGAAGATGGTGTGAATAATAAAAAATGATGATGATAAGGATAACGATGGAAAATGACAAAAAGTGAAGAAGATGAAAGATTGTCAACATGAGAAAATGATGAAGATGGAAGCTGATGATTAAGGAAGAAAAAACGAGCGAGATAAAAAATAAAGGATCCTACGGCCGCAAAGAACCCCACAGCCATGGCCGTCAATGATGGCGTATGCTTCCTTCCTATATGAATTAATGAAGTTATTGAATTTAAAAAAAAATGACCCTAGAAAGAGAGAGGTAAGGGTGGGTGAGAAATTATAAATGGAATGATAAAAATATGAATTAATTATAGCATGTACAAATGGGCTATGTTTGGTGGACACAAAAAGTGTACACTTTTTGTACAATCGTCTGTATACATAGGCAATTGGGATAAGCGTTGTCTATTTCTTAACGAATTATCTATTTACACAGATAATTAGAGAAGTGTACATAAAAAGTGTACACATTTTGCGTACCTCAAGCATTTTTGTGTACAAATAATGACTAACCCGCACGGGTAACTCAGTTGATCGAGTGGTGGGAAAATTGGACTAAGTGATCAAGGTTTGAAACCCGCAGCGGTCGTATGGAGGTTACAGAACCTGAAATAAGGCTGGACATCTGGTGCGCACATGTATAAGGTCTACCGCCGCTTTGCTGACTGAATCACTGTGATTAACCTCCACCATCCTGTCGGATCGGGGTGGGGAGCTCCGGGTGGGACCAGGGGCGGATCCAGGAATGAAGAGTGGGGTGGGCTTAGCAGGAAAAAAATTGTTATTGCAAACAAAAAGTTTAGCTTAGGCTGCTTAGGGCCGTAATCGAATTGAGTTTTTTTCGAACTACGCGAATTCTAGCGTGATTTCGAATTTAATTTAGCGATCTGAGCTTAAGAAGCTTTTTTTAACTCGAACACGAACTAGATTTTGAGTTCGAATAGTTGTTCAAGCTGAGTTCGAGCATAGTGGTATTCGGTTTGATCCGGACTCGAGTCTATCAATAACTCGTAAATTATAGGAATAAATTTTATTTATCTTAAAATTTAAACATTTTCATTGCAATTTTTTAAATATATTTGAACACTAAAAAAATAGAGTTCATATATCTATTTTATTCAAGCCGAGTTTGAGCATAAATTAAATTAATAATCAAATAGAATTACATAACTATTAAATAAAACTAATGCACAAATTAATAGATTAAAAGAGTATAAGAGTATGTGTGGATGGCTGGACAACTAGACTCGGCTAGAGGCAGCTAGTCGGACTCGAATAGACTAGAGGGGCAGAGCCACAACGAGCTACAACTTGGAGTGTCGGACTCCAGAGGGACACCGATGATCGACCGCAGACATAGGGGACAGGAAAGCAGGTGGTGGCGCGGCTGGGTGCATGTGTTTGTGACATCGTGGCTTCGTCGCTTTACTGAGTTGAGTCCTTTCCGCTTCTGCTTTGTGCTTGTTAGTCGCTTTATAACAAAAGTATACTTCTACAGTTCTAAAAATCACAAATAGTAGTTCTTACCATGCTTGTTGCAAAAATTAGAACTAGACAATGAACTGGGTGATGGTAAAAGCATAATTTTAATAATAATAATAATAATAATAATTTTAATAATAATAATAATAATAATAATAGAAATAGTATATGACCAAATAAAGATAGTTGATAAAGAGTAACTTAGTTATTTTAATGATTATAATTATGTTTAAATTTTAATGCTTATAAAAGTTACTTGGGTCAAATAATAGTATTATTTATATAATAATAACAGTATTATAATAATAATAATATAATATTAATCATAAAATTTATGTTGTAAAATAATATTGTAAACTTGTAATATAAAGTGCTTTCATTGATGGTGTGGGTGAGTGGGTGAGATGGGATTGCATAATTTGCAGCTGGCTCCAAACGCCAACTACATACGATTGTTTAATACTCCGTATGTAAAGTTTTGCTCCTCAATTTATCCCACATCGACTGCAAGGATGGTTCACCCTCCTGAGTGTCCTATATATAAATCACTTCTTGGTGCAATCACACCAAGCTCTATTATTACGCATCGGAATCATTTGTTCTTGGGATCATTTGTTCCCATGACTATGGGCTTTAAACAAAGTTTGGGCAGCCTTTTGCTTTTAGAGCTTCTTAGAACACTTCCTTGTAGACTTGGGGTGGGCTGAGTTTTAATTTTTGGGTGGGCTGAAAATTAAATCTCTTTCTATACTAACAAAAAAAAATTGGGTTGGGCTGGGCTAGAGCTCACCCTAGGCCCTACATAGATCCGCCCATGGGTGGGACCAAGTGTACAAATAATGACTAGAGTATAAATGTGCTAAGAGTTAATTATCAAAATAGGACTAAAAGTCATTCACTTTTAACAAATAGGACCAAAAAATGAACTATGTTTGCATAGGACTAATTATGTGTACTTGGACAATTATACCCTTATAGCTATTAAAATGTTTTAATTCCTAATAAAATAATAAAAAATAATAAAATTCGTAAAAAATACTAAAAAATTAAGAAAAACATTTCGATATTAAAAATTTAATTATATTTTTTTTTCAAAAAAATAAAAAAATTAAAAATAAATAAAAAAAAATGAAAACTCAAAAAAAAAAATCGCCGCCGCCTCTGCCGCCTCAGCACCACCACCTCCAGTCATCAGGGGAAAAAAATGCCAAGTTCATTACGAATGTCATATTTATGGCAGAAAAAAATGAAAATGTTGGCATTCGAAAAGAGAAATATGCCACTTTTTGGCATTTTCATAAAAAAATGGCTTTTTTTCATCGGCCGGAGGTGGTGGTGGTGGGAGGTAGTACAGGCGGTGCGAAAGACATCCATATTTTTTTAATTTTTTTACGGAGTTTTACTATTTTTTATTAATTTTTTTAAAAATAAAGTTATTTAAAAAAAACGTTTTTGAATTTTTTATTTTATAAAAATTTTATAAATTTTTTAATTATATTTCTACGAATTTTTGAATTTTTTTCGAATTTATTATGAATTAAACATTTAATTATGGCTTTTGACTATTTTTAATTCATATTTAATTGAAGGTAAGAATGGAATGCAAAAATAGGTATGTTTCCAATAGGACTCATATGGTCCTATTTTGGAATAAAAACATAGCAAGTTCTATTTTAGGTTTTTGCCATAGTTTTAGTCCTATTTGAACTAATTTCTGATGTGCTAATTGTTCAATCAAGTTGGTTTGATACGACAAGGCAACAAGAACTTTCAGTGACTCAGGTTGACTCTGGTTAATATGACATGCCGCCACCAAAACTTTACCTACCACCTCATTTTTAATAAGAACCCCTTACTAATAGATAGTACGGAGTATTTCGTATCAAAATTGATTACCATTAGCTAAAATTATTGAAATTATAACCGAAAGAATAGAATTAGCTTATAATATTTTTACTTCAATTAAATTTTATGGTTTGACCTGACTGGTTTAATCATGGTCTAATAGGTCAATGACGTACCAACAGGTGTATTTAAGTTTAGTTTGGTTTGTTATGAACTAAACGTCTAAACATGTCCAAGTGCAAACTTTATAAAACTTCTGAATCAGTTATATATTTATGGCTCATAATGAATTAATTAAAATTTATGATTAAAATAAAAATTCATTTCCAAAAATGGACCTTTTAAGTGTAGCAACTAGAGCAATAGTTTTAATTATAATAACTTAATTTTTATACTTAGTGAGTGATCATGACACTAAAATTGTAGTGACTTATTTAAATATTTTTGTAAATTTTTTTTTTCAGAAATACATTTGAAAAAATCTCATAAATAATCATATTCAGCTAAAAAATAATGTCAACCTTTTCATTATTGAAAATTTACATATGTGATCTCTTAGTATGAGTGATTAAATTAATAAGTTTAGTCGTATTAACTTATGTTCATTTTTATGTTGAAGCGACTGTGACATTATATTCATAGTAATTTAAGTCATTTTTTGTAAATGTGTAGTATTTCAATAATATATCTGAAAACTATTTTTTACGCGCAAAATAAATAAAATAGGTGTGGACAAAAATGTTCATTCATAAGCTAGAAAGACCCCAACCCTAGAACTGTTTTTATTTGTCATTTTTTTCAATCATTTTTCCTTTACACCCTCAGTTACACCCTCTTTATTTATCATTCTTCGACAAAATTGTTTGTGTGAACAAAAATTGGTTTGCTGATTGATGTACCTTTTTACAAATATGTCAGGGTGGTTGCACAGAAATCAATGTCAGTGTATACGGACATCAGTTGTCTGTGAGACAAAAAAATGTTTGTACATATACAATTTCTATCTGTGAACACATACACTTAAAGAAAACCAATGCTTGTCTACATACATTTTTGTCTATGACAAAAGTTTATAAAATGCTACTAATTTTTTAGTTTCATCTTTCGTTAGAGATAATTTATCATTATTTAGCACCATGCAAAAAAAATTAAGACGACTAACTTTCCAGTGAGTTTATGACAAATTTTCCGATAAGTTTCCGGTGAAGATGATGATGGAAGATGATGATGAACATGATGATGGAAGATGATGATGAATAAAACCTAAAAAGAAAGAAAATGAAAGAAGGAAATTAAAAGATGATGATGAAGGAGAAAGACAATGAGGGTTTTGGTATGATGCTAAGAGGGGACTGGGAAGAAGGGCCCCTCCGAGATAGGGTGTCTTCTTTTTTTAGGAGGAGAGAAGTAAAAAATGGGGATTATAGAGACCTATAAGGTGTACTCACTGAGGGTATACCATTAGCAAATTTCTTTTTTTTAGGATGAAAAATTTCATTTTTACTTGCCCTAGTTCCACGTTAGACCGGTGGACGTAGCTCAACTGGTAGCAAGGGAGTGCTACAAGGGTTAGGTCCCGGGTTCGAATCCCGACAACTGCGATGAGGGGTTACTATGCTAAAATACATAGGGCCTCTGCAAATATCGGGGACAGAGTGTCACTCTCTACCTGTCAGATTGAGATTATAGTCCAATTTACATCCTCCCAACGTACCGTCTGATCGGGGATGGGGGCCCTTAGGGATGGGGTCATCTTTTTTTTTACGTTAGAACGCAGCCTGCACATATTGACCTGTAAAAGTGAAATATTCGAAAGTCAAAATCGCCCTCTTCACAAGTTAATGCGGAGTAGCTAGTTAGGTGAACCCTCATTCTTTCCTGAGTCAGATATATCGCAAAAGACCAACTCCTTTTCCCACTGATTAGCAATTAATTTCAATGGGATGGCTGAAAAACTAATAACGACAAAAGTAATGCATGATTTCCGTATTCATCTTCATATCTCTAGATAGGGAAAAATAAGGCAAAGCTATTTGTGTATGAACCCATTTTCAGATAGCGTCATGTGTTTCATTCTTTATCAAAGTGGTTCATGTGTTTGAATTTTGTTATCATAAGAGGGTCAGACCGTTAAAAACATCTGAAAAAAATCGTTAAAAGTAACTCCAATTTTCAAAAGTGCCCGAAAAATTAAAAGAAAAATACGAGAAGGTGTGCCTCAATAAGACGACGCTAGACCATCTTCCTTTTTTGTTTTCAGCCACCCTCTTCACCGGAAAGTCCATCGGAAAAGTGATATTAGCGAAATCATTTTTAAAAAATAAATCAAACAGATCTAAAAAATCTAAAGGCGAAGGTGGTTTGGAGGTCATCTTGACGAGTAGCACCTTTTGGTCTTTTTCTTTTAATTTTTCGGACACTTTTGAAAATCGGAGTTACTTTTAACGGTCTTTTTCAGACGTTTTTAACGACGTGACCCTCTTGTGATAACGGAATTCAAACACGTGAACTACTTTGATAAAGAATCAAACACATGACCATATCTGAAAACGGGCCCAACCACAAGTACTTATTCTGTACTTTTCCCTTCTCGATACGTAGTATTATCAAATCTTTATTTAAAGATAGTTTTTAAACAAGTTTGATGATAATTCAAGTGTTTGAGTAAAAAATTTAGCAAACTTTGTCACTCCCATCTGATTTAAGTCTTACATAACAGACTGTGAAAAGTTAAAACATAACCAGATATATCCACGCCATCAAGGATTATATCCCGAGTTCGAATCTCGTCAACTGCGATACGATGAGGGGTTATTATGCTAAAATATGCATAGAGCCTCTGCAAGTACTAGAAACAGAGTCTCACTCTCTATTAGTCAGATTGATATTATAGTCTAATTTAGATCCTCCCAACGTACCGTCTAGTCAGAGTTGGGAGACCTGAGGGATGGGTGTCATCCTTTTTTTTTAATAGATATTTCCACAATTCCACGGATGGAATACATTGCTCCAACAATATTTATGACTTTCATTCAGTTGACTAATACTGGATACAACTGTACAACATCTTCACATGCCCAAAAAGAACGAAAAAAAGGTGAAATGACAGCTAAAAGTATAACATTCAAAAAACTAGAGCACCTTTTTCACGAACTCAGACGGGAGAACAGAAGCTATGCCTTCACACGTCATCATTCTTCAGTTCAAAGTTCGTTCATACAAATACAATAAACAATCCCTTCAAACATCATTTGAAACTCGCTGAATGCCTTATTCTCCTGCACACTCCACAAAGAATCAAAGAATATTTCCCTAGACTCTGATTGATAACAATAAGAACCATAAAAAAAAAAAAAAAAAAAAACTCACATACCAAATCCCCCATCCCCCATCCCCCTCCCCTAGCTAGTGAGATGTCCTCTTCAAGAACTGTGAGACATGGATTCCCTCAAAGAAATCAAGAATAGCATTCTCGAGATCCTCAACAGTGTACTTGATGTAATTCTCCGGGTGCCTCCCACTCTCAATGTGACTCCTATACCGTCCAAGAAAGGATCTATAAGCAGGTATCAACCTTTCTGACATGGATATCCTTAGCTCTTCGCGAAGCTGAGTATCTGGTATCAACCAACTTGACTGTGTCCGATGAACCTCTTCGAACAAACCATTGAAGCTCTTAAACCTCTCTCTCAATGCAGTCTTTGATACCCCTGATGAAAAGCTACCAGTGTGCAATCCTTCATCTCTTAAACAATACAAAACCTTCACCCATGTCGACCTCTGGTAATTCATAGCCGCTTGCAAGTACCCCCCAGTTAACTTCTTCAAGTAATGATCCCCAATCATCTCTCTTAGCTCAGGTGACCCTTTGATCTTCTTGACAATGTAATGCAAATTGTTCATCATGAACAGATGTGCCAATGAAGTTTCTTTGTAGTGCTTAGATTTCTCTTCTAAGTTGAATTGTAAGACAACGATTATCCAAATTAAGTGAAGGGATAGAGGGGTTTTTCCATTTCCATCTACTTCGGTGAAATCCATCTCAGGCGTGTTTGGGTCATTTGAATCTTTTGAACCAGGATTCGAGATGATCAGTTCATCCAAAGTGCGTTTGTAATCAGAGATCAAACTGATGTAATTCATCACATACCTTGTCAGTGGATGAATGGTCCCTCCTGGGATTGGAACTCTTGAAGGCTCGCGAAGAATTGCGTTTTCAAATTCAGAAAGTATCCCTCTTATTGCCTCTCCTAGCCTGGACAACATTTCACTTGCCTGAACCCTAAATGACTGCGTGTCCTTTGATTCAAAAACGAATTCTATATCAAACATTAACTCCGATAAAGCATCGTGTAGATCCAAAATCTTAAACAGTTTCTCTGGAGATCGCTTGCTTATACTAATAGCTTCTGCGAAATTGAAAAGCTGAATAGCCGGACCTTTGATAGTCTCGGAGAAGCAAGCGTCTTCCGCTGATGTGCCTAATCCAGAGAATATTTGCTCGCAGAGCTTCTTCTCACTGGCGAAGAGTATACAGACGCACAATTTGGCGGAACGTATCCAGTTACGGATCTTCACTTCAAGAGCCTCCCATTGCATCCTCTGGACATCGCCAATGCTCAGCTTCTCTATACCAAGCTTCCTGAAGCTAGCGTCTATCGCCGACTTCCGGACACTGCCGTACACCTGCATGCACTCACGCAGATATCCGGCGGAAATCATCCTCTCGGCGATGCTCCGGAGGTCGTGGACTGCATCTGGCGGCAAGAGGTCGATTTCTCTGATGCTACTCGATGATCGGTAACTGCTGCTGCTCATCCTGCTCTCCAGAGGCTCTAGCTCATCGCACATCGGGTTATCATCTCCATAATCGAAGCTCCTGAGCTCCTGTTCTCCCGAGCTCACCCCGTTGCAGCTGCTCCTGGAGCTACAGCTGATTCTGGAAGAGGTAGAGCTCCTCGAATCGAGCAGCAACTCAGATTCAACAGGGCTGGTGTGAGCGATGAGGATGCTACGGAACTCGTCCTCGAGCCGAGCCATGGCGATCTGGATCGCTTCGTTGCCCTTGCTCTGGCCATCGGAGAGCGAGCAGGCCGATTCCATGGACCTTTGGAGTTCATCGACGGCGCGCAAGTATTGGGCGACCTCATGCCGGTCTCCACTGAAGATCATCTTCTCTCTGGCACCTGCTTCCGACGCAGTGGAGTCCCACCGGAGGATGATCTCCTCGGCGGAACCGTGAGCTACGGCGTCGTGCTCTGGCGGCTCCATCGGACCTGAGATGAGAATTGGGCGTCCAAAATTAATGATGAGAGACTATCTGTTAGGAGGAGAGGAAAGAAGTGAGAAAATGTGGTGAAGGGGCAGAAGATGACGACAAAGAATATAAAATGGGGAGTAATTATGGAGGAACAGTGGTCAAGATCATACTACTAGTCTGCTGTCCAGAGAGAAAGAACACATCATTTTCCTATATTAGTTGTTGTTCCTAAGAGGTGGAGTCCCACACTCAATTGCACGTAAGGAGTAAGTCACGATAACTCAGTCAGCTCATTGATGATAGATCTTTTACTTTTTGCGCACTAGATGTTCAGTTCAGCACGCATGAGGGGTAACTTCACATGGACGTCATGGATTTCGAACTTTTGTTTTCAAATTTCATGTCATTGAATCAACTGAATTATCAATGCGAGTAGCATTTTCCTATATTAGAATATATTTGGAATAACTCCCTAATTCTTTCTATCTGGTCCCAAAGGACTAATAAACGCTTTAAATTCTTCGGCGACACCCCAACACTTTTGATACTCCGTATGAAATAAAACTACAATTAACATATACTCCATCACGAGGATAATAATTCCATTAAAATTATACAGTACATTATTGTTTAAATCTTATTTCATGAGTTTCAATTTTGATCTAGAATTCATTTGATAACATGTTTTTCGACTTATAAATCAATTTTTCATTAAATGTGTATTTCCTCCATTTCAAATTGTTTGACACACCTTGACTACACGAATATTAATGAAAAGTATTTACTAGGGAGAAAATTTTACTGTAGAATACATTATTTGGTAATGTTTTGTATTATTTTATACTGTATTGATATAGATTTATTTTACAAATAAGGGAATAAAAAGTGTGTCAAAGAATTTGAAACAAAGGGAGTATATTTTTTACTTCGCGAACTAAATTGTTTGATAAATAAGATTGTAATTAGTTTTCTAGTTGCATTAGCTGAAGTTATGTATAAAAAGATTTTAGTTGTTTTTCTATATAATATTTTTTATGTTATGAATAAAAAATTTAAAAATATTTTCATAATTATAAAAAGGGGTAATTTGAGTTTGCACCCCATTTTATTGTGCAAATTGGACTTTGCACCCCGTTTTTAAAAAACTTTGTTTTTGCACCCCAACTCTATATGAAAAGACAAAAATGCCCTCCATTAACAATTTTGTTGGCCTTCAACATATTTTTGGTTGAGGGCATTTTTGTCTTTTCATACGGGGTTGAGGTGCAAAAACAAAAATTTTTAAAAACGGGTTGCAAATGAGGTGCAAAGTCCAATTTGGACAATAAAATGGGCAATAAAATGGGGTGCAATAAAATATTCTGACTTATAAGCTGCAAAGTCCAATTTGGACAATAAAATGGGGTGCAAACTCAAAATACCCCTTGTAAAAAATATAATTTTCCCATAATTTAGTATATACACCCTATCCTACACGCTTCAGCTAGAACTTCATCAATTTCAACGGATTCAGTGTTATCAAATGAGCAATAAACACTTGATACCGTTTGGTATAACTGAAATTGGCTGAATCAAGTGATAAATCTGTTGAAATTTAGGAAGTTCTGACTAAAGTAGCTAAATTGGTTGATTCTTTTGATTTATGAAAAGTTATATTTAAACTGGAGTTACTCTAAAGAACTAATTTTGTTGTTTTTCATGTAATTTTTCTTGATGTTATGAATAAAAATATTTTAACTGTTTTTATAATTATAAATACGAAGTACAATTTTTCCATAATTTAGTAGATTCAGGCCATTCATGCGCTTCAGCCAGAACATCATCAATTTCAACAGATTCAATTGATTCTGTGTTACCAAACATGCTTCCAATTTGTTATGTTCAAGTAGGGGTGGGCACGGTCCAAGACGAAATGGGTATTGGGTTGTCCCGGTACTGAACCCGGTTTATAATAACGGTTCGGAACGGGACAGGATAAAATGGGATTGTTCGGGACATCCCAAAAAACTATAGTGAAAAAAATTGCATCCCAAAAATGAAGCAAAGCTATTTGAAAAAAAAAATATCGCAAAAAAACTCTGACAAAAAATTGCAGTTAATCTAGAAAAATGTGATAAAAAAAGCAATCTACGAAATTAGCTGCAAGAAAAAAAAGTTGCAGGACTAACACAAAGAACTGTCAAGAAATTTGTAAAAAAAAAAAAGATAAAAGAATACGCTACAAGAGTTCAAGCCTTTGGGAGTAAAAATCAATTTCTTTTTTTTGTGCAGATAGATGATACTCCCTCCGTCCCATTTTACTTAGTCAATCTTGACTTTTCAAGTCAATGGAGTTTAACTTCGACTGATTATATGTTTATATAGAGAAAGTATTAATAATATGAAAATGATATGAAAATGTTCTTTGTTAAAAATACTATCATCAAAGTATAAAATTATTAAATTTTGCATAAATATATTAGTTTAAATAATTGGTCAAAGTTTACCATCTTTGACCGAAAAGTCAAAGATGGTTAGGTAAATTGGGACGGAGGGAGTAGTTCATAGTTAATACGAAGTACTAGGTAATTTAAAGTTTTAATTTAGGTACTCTGTTGTTAAACAATTAGTTTCTTAATAATTGTTGGTATTTGGATGCGTGTCTGAGACTCAGAGACAGAGAGGTGACTGAGTTGGTCTAACTTACCACTGAATTCTAATACTTCCAAGAAAAGTAAAAGGAGTTTGAGGTTTAAAAGTGTGTTGGAAGCTAAAAAGAAGACTTATGTCTTAGAGTAACTAACGTTTCAAGTATAAGACTTAAACATAGGGTGATACATACACGTATAATATTTTTCCCCAAGTTATAAAATACATATCAGTATATATATATACACTTGGAAATACCCGGCCCATAGGTCATTGTTTATTTGTGAAAATCATAGTAGTCAATACCCTTGACTTAAATTCCAACCCACCCATATCCTATGAGTGTATAGGACTCCTCCTGGCCCAAGTCAATTTATACATATAAGTTTGAAGACAGTACCGTCGTCCTTATATTCTCTACCATTTATACGTATGAGTTTTGAGGACAGTACCGTCGTCCCCGGGTCTCCACCGTTTATACATTTGAGGTTTGAGGACAGTACCATCGTCCCTGGGTCTCTACCATTCATATACCGAGATTTGAGGACAGTGCCGTCGTCTTGGGTCTCCACCGTTTATACATTTAAGGTTTGAGGACAGTACCATCGTCTCTGGGTCTCCACCGTCTATATACCGAGTTTTGAGGTCTGTACCATCATCCCTAGGTTCTCCGCCATCTTACATTCATTTCTATGATCTACCACTTATCATACATAGATAGGCTCTATATCATAATCATTTATCAAGACTATACCAAGTATTAGGGTTTAATCATTAGATATCCAACTTGACATTTAAATATCATATCCCATGCAATTACATGCACAATATACTTATATAGGATGTCCGGGGTGAATACCCCCTTCGAACCGGGACCGAACCGCATTTTTGGCAAAATCAGAACCCGTGGCAGCAGCTTACCCGGCGCCGGTTATACCCTAACCCGGCGCCGGTTATGTGTCAAATCTCTCAGACCGGCCAGGCAGTGGCATAACCGACGCCGGTTCAGCTCTATAGCCGGCGCCGGTTCACCGTCTGCCCAACGACGGTGGTCCATTGACCCCCGTATGATCTTCGATTGGTCCGAAACTTTTATACAACATGTATTGGGTTTCAAACAATCAATATTTGCCATTTTGGCCATCCAAAACATCACACATGTTTTTATATCATTTTCATATCATTTCTCATGCATAATAATCATGGTTCATGTCTTATAAGCCTAATCATATTGGCTAAACACATGTTTAAACATTTTAAACATCATTATGAACACATATAGCTTATTATTAGGTAATCCTATACTTAAGTACTTAACCCAAGGGTTACAAGACATTAAGCCATCCACTCACCTCGAATGAGCTTTATGAAGTTCTACCCTTCCCGGTTGAACTCCGGTGAAACTCCGGCAAACTTTGAAGAACTCTGGCGACGACTCCGGCGATCCTTTCAACTCCGTGAAAGCTCTAGGAACTCCTTAGACAAGTTCCTAACAATGTTTTATCATCACAAAACCCATATCAACACAAATAACCTCTAAAATGTTATTTTCCGGCGAACCGGTCACTTTGGCTTCTAAGTCCGTTTTTGGACTTAGAACTACCGTCCAACCCATCATTCTACATTTCTAAACATGTAGAACAAGCCTAGGGGTTCCTCATATGCTATACATGTCATATGATTGTTAATATATAAAGAAAGGTTGTTATAAGGTCATTACCTTAATCCACCGATCTTTTCCCTCACTTTTCCTTCTTAAATCTTCCTCCTTCGACATTGTCTTCTTGAGCTCACCTGGATATGGAGGAATGAAGTTGCAGAGCTTTATTCCCTTGCTTGGAGAGTTCTTGGTCGAAAATGAAGGAGAGAGGGGTGTACATAGTCCTTTTGTCTCAATAGACCAATGAGTGTGTGTGTAATGTCCACCTTAAGTCTATTCTCACACTCCCCTCAAATCCACAGCACATAGGCCATAACCCTCCTTTCTAGCACAATTTGTTGTCTCAAATTGACTTTGAGCACACAAAAACGTGGGGTGACCCCCACTCGTGTGGGAGGTCATCCCTTTATGTCCCGAATTTCGGGATGGATCCGGGTCGGTCCGGTTCCGGCTCGGGCCCGGGCGGGCTTTTTTTTGCAAATCCTTGGGCCCGGAACCGGCCCGGGTTGATACCGGGTCCGGGCCCGGTTCAATGTCTATTTTTTTTCTTTCTTGTTATCCCCTGACCCTCCCCCACCCCCAAATCTCCCCAAAACACCCAGCCCTACCCTAGGAAAAGAAAAAAATTGAAAAAACAAAAAAAATGACCGGGCCCGCCCCGAACCACCCGGGTCGGTTCGCCCAAAACTGGGCCCGAGCCTGGCCCGCCCGACCCGCCTAAACGGGCTAAAAGACCGGAACCGGCCAACCGGTCCCGGTCCGGTCCGGATCCGCAAAGTAGCGGGTCGGGCCGGTTCCGGTCCGGGTCGGCCCGATTTAGTCAATCCCTACCCGAATTGTACAATCGGTCCCGAAAGTTGTATTTTTCGGACTGTTTTAATTATATTTTATTTTATCGGGCCAAATAAAAGATATCACATGTTCCAAATCACTATATGACTTTAAAATGAATATACTTTCCTCAATTTTAATTTAGAAGTCTCTGAAATCCATTTCGGACTATTATTCGATAAATTACCAATACTGGTAATTGGGCCTTGTTTGACCAACCGGTCAACCCTATGTCTGCTCCATGGCCCAACTAGGATATACACCCCATACACATATTATCTAGATCAAGATGAATATAATATGTGGTCTCGGAATTATCGGGTGGTCCCCGCTCCCGATGTGGGCCCCACGTGCAATTCTTTATTCACGCGCAAGTAATAACAAAAATTTACAACCTCGTGAGTTCATTAACTTTTCATAGGATTCAATACATGATTTACATAAAAGTAAATATATTTGGGGATGATGTTACATTAAGTCCTTATAGTAGCCCCAAGATAATTGATGCCTTTTAGTTTTATTTTACCTTCACTCAATTTTTTTTTACTTTTCGATGCTGAAACAGAATTTTTACTCCTTATTAATGACATTCAATCATATCTATTTTCGTGCTACTCAATTTTTTAGAGGTGTGACACTACAAAAAAACAAGGGTGTTGTAACGGATTTTGTCATGAATTGAATTGTCATAAATATCGTCTTCCATTTGTTTTTACTTCTCTCTTTTTTTACATTTTTTCCTATACACTACATTTTATATATTAAATTAAAATAATCGGTGTATCTTAATCTCTCTTCTACACTCCATTACACTATCTCATTAGAGATGTTCGATAGAATGGATGACTCGTTATCCCCTTGTTCCAAAAGGTGGAATCTCCCACCCCAGGAGCCCCCACCCGACTCGACACGATGGTGGAGAGGTTAATCACGGTGACGCAGTCAGCAAAGCGGCGGTAGACTTTATACACGTGCTGCTCACTAGAGGTCCAGCCTTATTTCAGGTTCTATAACCTCCACACGGCCGCTGCGGATTTCGAACTTTGATCACTTGGTCCAATTTTTCCCACTATTCGACCAACTGAGCTACCTATGCGGGTGTAACTAGTTATCCCGGATGCATGTGCAAATGACATCTCTAGTTACAACTTACGGGAGCATCACAAAATTAACCATGTAGTTTCGATAAGGGTTGTTTGGTGCTTGCAGGTTGCCAGTATTATGTGTTTACGGACTTGTGGATTAGAATCTTCACTAATTACATTTACATGATTCTGCGTACTCTTTTGTACTGTAATAACCTAATCCTACTCATACATACATACATACGGAATTACGGAGTAGTAAATACGTATACAGAACTAATTAGTTTCACTTTAAAAATAAACTATTTCTCCGTTTGTTTTCCTTTTCAGGACAAAAAGAACAAAAATCTGACAACTTGGTCCCACCCAGAACAGAGCAAGGTCTACTGCAGTGACTTCCCGTCGTCGGTAACGGCGCCGACACCGCGACCTTCTTCAACTTGATGAGCATATCCATCTCGCAGCGACGGCATATCGTAGGCAGATCTCGGATCGGGCCCCACTCCTCCATCGGCGCCGTTTATGATTTCCTCTATCCTCCTAATCGCTTCTCTAAGATCAAGCCGCCGGTCTGGATTACTTTCCGCGCAAGCCTCGCCGACGTGCAGGAGCCGCCGCATTTGCTCCGTCGAGCATCTCGAGTCGGCCGCAATCTCCGGATCTAAGACCTCGTCTTCTCTTCCATCGGCTATGGCCGATTTCACCCACTGCACCACGTCAGTACCGCCGTTCCCGTTGTTCAAATACTCCGACGGGAATTTGCCGGTGACGACTTCGAGAATTACTATGCCAAGGCAATAGACGTCGGATTTGGGAGACACCTGATTGAACTGGAGAGCTTCTGGGGACCGGAAAGCCATGAGTGATTCGGCGGCGTTGGCGGTGTTTATCAGCGAAACATAGCCGTAATTGGAGAGGCGCGGCTCGTAGTCTTGGGTCAAAAGAATATTGCTGGATTGCAGATCTCCATGTGGTACTTGGTATGAATGTAGCTCTTCATGGAGAAAACCCAATCCTTGAGCAATTCCTGATACAATGTTCAGTCGAGTTTGCCAATTTAACTCTGAATGGGTAGTCCCTCGATCACCTGAAATTTGTGTTGAATCCATGATTAATACTCCATAATTGATAGATCTCATGGCTATTTGATTCATGATGATTGGTAAATAATTGTTCAATTTTAGCATTTTATGATGGAAACGTTAAAATAGAAACACACCGTTTTAAATTTAACCTTTTGGAATAAGGTTATCTTGCCAACTATTATACATAAACAGCTAATGAGTGTGTTTGTCATTTAGCCATGAGCGAATATCGGATTATATTAGCGGATTTTCAATAGTAGATTCAATCAGCGGGTTTGACTAGTAGAATAAGTTAGCGCGTTGTTAGAAAGTGTTTGCTAATTTAGCTATTTGACCATAAGAATTGATAAAAAATGTCATGCTTCAAAACGCTAAATAAAAAACCTTTTATTTGCTACATTTTCTTTTCGGTGGTTCCGTCCGAAAACGTCAAGGCCGAACAACTATTTACTTAACATCGTTTTAACTTATCAAAAACGTTAAAGGTTTTGTCTGAAATGTCATTTTTCAAACACCGTCATTACCAATTCATATGAAAGTACTTCATATCATTTTGAAACTACCGAACTCAATGGCCATACTACTTGATTATTGAAAATTGCTTACCATGGAGTACATAAAGTAAGCTGCCTTTGGGCATGAATTCATAGACCAAAAGTTTCTCTTCCTTGCGATAATAATAAGCCAATGGGGTTAAGATATTCTTGTGCCTTAACCCGCCTAGTCGCCGAAGCTCAAGATCAAAGTCCTCTAATCCCACGCCGTTCATTTCTTTCACTCTCCTCACCACCACCGCCGTGCCGTTGGTCATCGTGGCCTTATAAGATGACCCCATCGTCCCATCTCCCATCACCTCCGCCGCCGCTGTCATCAAATCCGGCAACCCAAACGCACCTTTCTCATCATTCACCATTACTAGTTCCCCAACTCCTCCCTTCCCTCCTCGTCGGTCACTGCCCGAAATTATTCGAACAGAGCTTCCGCTTCTCCGGCCGCTTAGCTCCCCGCCGCCGCTCATCACCGATGGGTCCTCTGGAATCATCATCATTTCAAGCGTCTCCTGCCTCCGCTTCAAGATGGCTATCCCTATGAGCATTAGCGCAAGTATAATGCCGGAGGCCGCCATCATTCCGATCGAGACATTTTTTGCCTTACCTTCATCGACGTCGGGGGCTACAGCCGTCGTCTCTTTTCCGGGTGATGAGATGTTGTTGTTCGATCTGCCGTCGTTTGTGGCTGCCGGTGCCGATGAGATCTTATTGTTTCTTGATTTTCCGACCATCTGAGTGACGTCATCATTTGTTCTGCCGCTCGAAACCATATCTTGGCAAGGCTTGCCCAATACTTGTATGCTGCAAAGTCCGGGATTCCCTTTGAAGGAAGAACTGTTGAACCTTGACGATAAGCCAGCAGGGATTTCTCCTTGGAGATTATTGTTGGAGAAGTCTAATGATACCAACGTTTTCTGTTTAAACTCCGGGATTTCGCCGGAGAACCGGTTGTTTTCCAGGTGTATTTCTAAAATCCTGGGTAACCCAGCAAGGGAAGAAGGGATTGGGCCGGTGAACTTGTTGTCGGAGAGCCAGACTTTCTTCATGGATCCCATTTTGGTAAAGAAGTCGGAGGGGATGTTGCCGGAAAACTGGTTTCTCGAGATGTAAAGAGCCTTGAGGGCGCCGATTTGGTTGAACTCCGGGATCGGACCGGCAAAGGAATTGTGGATGAGAGACAGAGTTCTGAGTCCGGGGATTTGGGACAACGCTTGTACGTCGATTTCGCCGGAAAGTCCCATCCCGCCGAGACGGAGGCCGGTGACGATGTTATTTGTGCAGACGACGCCGGCCCATTGATTCTTCATGTCGCAGGGGTCTGTCCCGGCCTTCCAAGAAGCCAGAGCTGCGGCGTTTTTCAGGGATTTTTTAACTCTCAACAACACCTCCTCGTCAGAGACCGATATGGTCGCCGGCATTGTGATCAGGAAAACGCATATGAAGAAGACCAGTGTTCGTATCGCGAAAGACATTGATTTTTCATTGGCGAATTATTGTTCGGAAACGGTGATGATGATGATATGATCTGATGATTGGGTTTTGTGTTTTATTTATCTTTATTTTTAAATTCTTTTGTTTTTGTTGTTCTTGAAAAATTGATGAAATAGGAGCCTAGGAGGAGGAACGAAAAAAGCCTGAGAATGAGGAAATCCGTGAAACTTTATTGAGAGGTAGGATGTGAATCCTGTGATGAGTTTCCTTCATAACCTGTGAAGGTGCTTTGTTGTGTTTTGGGCCTTTGGCCACACACTTGGTAAACCATTATTGGCATCCAAGGATTTTAAATACTCTCTTGTCCAATATAGGAGCAAACATAAACATAATTGCACAAATAAGAGTAAAACTTAAAATTTCCTTCAAGGAGTAAACATTAATTTTGTACTCTTAACATCTCTAATCTAGTTAATTCTAAAATATGACTTATTTGATGTTATTAAAAAAATCTAAGTTCATTCACTAAAAACGATACCTTTATGAAGGCCATTTAATTTTAAAAAAAATCTAAGTTCATCCCAACAATATTAAAATATTAAAAATTAAAAAAGTTATTTTTGTAAAAATAAAAAAAATTAAAAATAAAAAATAGATAAACAGTATTAAAAAATATAAAAAAATTATGCAGGCCTTTCCCACAGCCTGGGTCATCACCCAGCAAAGTCACCTCCGATCAGCGAAAAAATGCAATTTAATGTAAAAATTGTCATTTTTCTTTGAAAGTGCCATAAAGATGGCAGTTTTACTCTTTGAAAATGCCAAATTTTCTCAAAATCTGCCATCTTGATGGCATTTCAGGAAAATGTTAGCATTTTTCGGTGGTCGGAGTTGATGGTGCTGGGAGGTTGTTGAGGCGGCGGCAGACGCCTACATTTTTTTATATATATATTTTTCATTTTTCATTTTTTATTTTAATTTTTTTAGTTTTTTTTTTAATTTTTTTATTTTAATAATTTTTATTTTATTTAATATGGAGTATATTTTATTTGATATTTTTTGCGGTTTTTTTGTTTTTTTACAATTTTATTTAATATGGAGTATATTTTATTTGATATTTTTTATTAGTTTTTTTGTTTTAATTATTAATGAGAGTTGTTGGGGCTTGGGTAGGGATATACTTGTCCAAACACTAAAGTTACTCCTATTCAAAACATGATACTCATATTTTTGCATTTTGCCTATGATTTACTCCTATTCGGAGAATTCTTTCCATCTTTTACTCCGTATAATAATAGACAAAACATGTTTTTGAACCCGTTTGGTGACCCCTTTTTCGATTTATCAGATTTATTAGACAGCTTTTTCACCAAACACGTAACTTTTGATTTCGCGCGCTGAAGTTTGTAATAATTTTTCATATGATTTTTTATTTGATTTATTAATAAAAAATATTTTAAATATAATTTTTTCATGAATCAGCAGAAAATACAACCACTTCATCCAGAACTTCATAAATTTCAGCAGAATCAGTCAATTCAACCAATTTTGATATTACCGAACGGGCTCTTTATCTCTCTCCCTGTCTTTAATAAGGATTAGATAAGGGAAAAACTGAAAATAATAATCTCAACTTTTGTTCGTCCACCATTAATAATCTCAAGTATCGATTATTCCTGAATGATCCCAATTATAGGGACTATTTTTCAAAAATAGTTCCTAACTGGTTACAGCTTGGTATAACTGATCAATTTTAAATTCAAACTATGCGTAAGGTATAAATAATCTCAACTATAGTCGTTCTATTTTTATTAATCACAATTATCAACTCTCAATTTTCTATAATCCCAACAATATTAAGAAACATTTTTATAAATTTTTAAACTAGATATTTTTAATCATGAAAAAATAATTGCGAAAATTATACAAATGTAACAAAATTAAATAAGATTTTTAGTCATTTTTTTATTTATTTTCACTAATATTTCATTTCTTCCCTGTTTCCAATTTGTTTTTCACAGTTGTTTCACTAATTTATGATTTTGTATTATTTTTCTTTATTAAAAACTATATTTTCTATTTTCAAAAGGTGAATTGTGTTTAAAATTTTTACAATTTAGATCTTTATTCTAGCTTAATCTAAAAATATAAATTTCTATTTATTCCATTTTAATATTTTTAATTTCTACCAATATAAAAATGTGAATAGCTTGAAATGATGATAGAAAAATGTTTACCAAAATACTTTTCAAAAGTCCGCACTTTTTCTACCAAATAAATAGTTGGGATTAGTATTACCATTGTGATATACTTTTTCTACATTTTTTACAATTTCCATTATATCACTTTAAATTATAATATTAATACATTTTCATTAAAAATAGTCAAAACCACTGAAACCTATGCCCCAAATAACTAAAATTAAACGACAAACTATATAATATAACTTATAGAATATAGTAATATAAAATAAATAAAATAGAAAAAAAACTAGAAATACTAAAATGGAAAAAATAGAAAATTCAGATTTTTAGAATTAATAACAAGGAAAAACATTTTAATCAGTCTTTACTTTTTGAAAATAGAAAATATAAATTTGAATAAAGGAAAACAATACAAAATCATAAATTAGTATCACAACTGGGAAAGACAAATTGGAAAAAGGGAAAAATAAAATTTTAATGAAAATAAATCGAAAAATGATTACAAATATTTTATTTAACATTGGTACATTTGTATAATTTTCGTAGTTGTTTATACATGTTTAAAAATATTTAGTTTGGAATTTAAAAAAATAATTCTATATCTTTCAAAATTGAGAGTTGATAGTTGAGATTAATAAAGAAAATGGTCAACTATAGTTGGGATTATTTAAAGCGTACACATAGTTCGTATTTAACATTGACCTTCTATATCGGGTTATAACCGTTATGGACTACTTTTGAAAAATGACCCATATAATTGGGACCACTCAGGAATAATCGATAGTTGAGATTATTAATGCCAGATCGTCAATAGTTGAGATTATTATTTTCAATTTTTCCTAAAATAAGTTACTCCACATATTTTAAGTTTAGAGAAAATTGTGGACTTTGTCAAGTAATTTTTAGTTGTATAAGCTTTTGGACTTGTATTTTTATAGATCTCTTATGGATTATATTGTTGTGCGACGAGTAACCAATGAGAGGAGATTGAATTTTTAAATATTATGAATATACAAACAATAAATGATATGTACAACTAGGTTTCTCAAAAATTTTGGGTTATGTGTAATTAAGCCGGATTTGTATTGAAAAATCACTATTTCTTGACCCATGAATACAATTTATTTTGTATTATTTTTTGTTTGAATTTAATCCTTTAGTATGGAATTTCCGATCTCTGTTACTATCCTGCTTGTCACCTTCATCATCTACCATGATCCACCACCATCGTGACGCCATCAAAGAAGAGGAGACCAGGCCACCAGTACGACGCCATCAAAGAAGATGGAGACCACCAGTACAACGCCGGTGGTCAGCGACGGCGACACGAGCTTCATCTTCTCCTTCTTCGCTGTCTCAATTCATTAGCTTCATATTTGCATTTGATTTGAGTGAGATCTGTTTCGATTCGTCCTGAGATGGGGGCGGAGTGGTGGCTGTTGGGGCTAAGGCGAGTTTTAGAGGGGCTAGGGGCTGGAGCGAGGAGGGTGGTGGTTGTTGGCGCAAGGACGCGCTGATGGGCAGTGTTGGGGTAGATTTGGTTGTGGCGGGTTGTTGGGCGGCTCTGGGCAGGTAGAAGGCGCATGGGTTTGTGGACGGGACAGGGATGGAGGCTGTGGACAGGGTAGGGGCGGCGGTGGACAGGGCAGCGGCCGTGGCTGGAGATTGGAAGCAGAGGCAGAGGCAGCTTGTAATGGTAGCAAGACGGCCATATTATTCCGTTGGGCGCCAGAAAAGGAGTCAGAACAGCAAGGCTTGAGCAAGGGTAAACTACATCGGGAGTTCTACTCATTATGTGTGCATTAATAAAAATTTAGCTCTTGATTTTTTAGGGGCCAAATAGTCGACTAAAAATGGTTGGATATTGTTGGGTCGTACAAGTTAGGCGAATAGTGCTATTTTGTGCAGCCCTAGTTGAATATACAACATGGGTTATGCATCAGTATTTTCAACATGTAAAACTTTGGGTGAATAATGCTTGATTTTTTTGAAAGGAAATGCCAAAATATATTAAGAAAAAGTCCTATGATCAGATTCTGAGACGACCACCTCCAAAGAAGCAATCGCGAATCGTTAACCTTCAAATGAGCATCATAGAGTTCATTATGACCCTTAAGATCATCGCATTCTTTACCACTTCAACAAACTCAAAATAGCCAAAATGTCCTCCCAATCCCTAAACAGGTAAAAAAGATCACCCAACATTGAGTGAAGCTTTTTGCTGAAAATATGAGAGCTTCAAGACAAATAACGACCATAAGCACCTCAACAAAACCGCAAACACAAGCAAACCAAAAATAATTTATTAAAAAGTCTAGACGCATAAATAAAGCTAGAAAGAAAAATAGAGCAATTTTCAACTACAAACTAGGAATAGTAGCAATTTAAATGAAACATTAATTATTTACAACTACAAACGCTGCAAAATGTTTAAAAAGGCTACTTTTGGTTCTCACATTTAGCTTCTTTATTAAGATTGATCCTCCATTACATTTTTATGTCTTTACGCTTTTTGTAACGGGTGGGGTGAAAACTCCAAATTAGAGGTGTTAACCACAAATCTGCTACAACTCTTGCTAAAAAGAGTATATGAAGGTGCTAGAGTGGGTGTGGGGAACCCTTTGGTGGGAAATTACTAGCCTCGATTCAAGTGAGAAAAAAAAAGAAAATCATCTGTAATGGGCAACTATGAAAGTGACTCGCCCCCCAAAAAAATTCCTAATTTTATTTAAAGTGTTATAACTTTTTTAACTATAATCCAATCTTTATAAAATTATATCAAAATTCATAACTTTGAGTGACCTTTCATATGACACAGATATTAAATATGTATATATAATTAAAAAAATGATATTTCATGTGATGAGATTTTTTGACCCAAAGTTTTTATTAAATAAATCCAAATGCTAAAATTAAGATGTGATGGTTAATTTTTATTTTTTACACATCTCAATCATTTTTTAAACAGGTCTGAAGTAACAACAACAAAAATAAACCCCAAATTTATTTATTTTTGCATCATAATGCTTGCTTATTTAAATCATAATTATTCACAAAAAATATGGCAAAAAATGATGTATAATAATAAAATGGATGTTTTAATTAAAGAAACATTTCCGCTCGAGGGTCGGCAGTTGCTTGCGGTTTCTTTGTCTATTGCATGGTGTGATATCAGTTTAAGCCACTTTCC